CACACACACAAACACACACACAAAAGCTGCACAGAAATATAAGCTTCTAATACATATAATAATATATGTGATAAATACATAATATTTTCCAAAATTATGCGCATATGTAATCATTTTTCTTATTTCATAGGTATTGCATGCCTAAACCTGTTTGCCGCACCTTATTTTAGTTACTCTGTATATTACAACTGAGAATCACACTCAGGTGGGAGACCCCCATGCAGTTTCTGAGGTGGTGCAGAGTAGTTTTGGACAGGGCTGTGATCGCTGCCTTCCCGGTCCATCTCAGACCCCTTAAAAACCCTGGAGGGTGTGAGTGATTCTTATTCTGAAGAACTTTGATAATTTACACCTAAGTCTGAACGTAGGGGTAAATTTAGGGATAAAATTCCACTCTAAGAAGTTTGATAAATACAGGTYCTGAACTATCTGAACGTTTGMAGCAGTTTTACTCRATTGGCTTAAAATTTTAGCCTGTGGTTTTGCAGAAAACTCATTTTAACTTCATCTTTAGYGAACAATGTAATAATCGTTAAAACATATACACAAAGATGTTTCTTTTTTTAAAAAAAATGCATCATTTGCTGTAAAACTTGAAAATCCCTTGGTGTCCACTCATTCATGCAAATAACACAATTCTCCTGTCACCCTGATGTTGGACCCATGCTCTGAAATAAGCGAGTAGTTGGTTGAATGAAGAGAAATTTTGAAACGTATTAATTATAAACTCAAAAAATAATGTTAAAAAAACGTTCTCATTACTTTAATTACCTACTTTTTAATAAAACATGGTTCAACTATTTTGTTTCATTGGGACGTGGACAAAAATAGGGAGTTTTTCTTCTCGGATGATTTGGCTGACAGTGAATTTGAAGAGCAGAAATGATGCTCAGCGGTTGTATTTTTAGCAACACGAAAAGAGAACTTGGCTGAAGATACGAGCATTAAATATGGAGCTACAGCTCAGTGCATGTACCGCTCAAGTGGATTTAAAACATACACCTTCTATAACTGTCGACCAGACAGGACTAAATGCAGCACAATGCAGCATTTAACTCTAAAAGTTGCACACGCTGCTAACTGCTCATCTCAGTTTAATCACAAAAACATACCAGCWCCACAAGTGATTTTAAGTCAGAAGGATATTACAGGATTTTATTCAGTTTTTTTTTTTATCCGAAGCAGATTTTGTTGGTCGAGTGTCGGATTATTACAAAACATTCCTTGCAACTGCCTCCAGTAGCACCTGGAGGCAGGAAAGCATGGTAGCGTCTGAAGTTACACCATTGATTGCCATGGAGTTAGAACAGGAAAAAGGAAAACGTGCTAGGCAACAGAAAACGAACTCTGTGCTCCAGCATGAGTGCAACACAACTGCACTCAATAAAAGACCAGCAGGTACACACACAAGGAAAATAACTGGAAGCATATTCTGTTTAAGATTCTGAATAATAACAATWATTATTATTATTTTTAAGCAAATATGAGAAATCCTGCCAACACGAAAAAAATTAAATAAAAATCCACCAAAATTACTAGACGTGCTGCAGGTAATGCCAGATTTATACTGTTTAGATTCTATTCATTTTTTAAAACATGTTTCGTTGAAATTGTCACATAATAATATGCCCCTGGCAGGGTCTGTTCTCTGCAGTAAAACCAGGCTGGGATGTTTATTTGTGAAGACCTAAAACAGGTTACCAGATAAAGTGCTGTGGTAATGAGGAATTGAACTTGACTTCAAGGCTGACAAAGTAAAGGATATGAGTGTATTTCTTGGTAGCAACAACACTTTCTTATAACATAGTAAAAATGCAGAGAATAAATTTTATTCTTATGCTTATTCTTCTTTATTCTCTTATTCACTTTGTAAGCACCTGCTCCTCATGAGCGATGGGTCAAATGCAGAGCATACTGAGATACTTGGTTCACTAAATAGGTTTTTGGTTGTTAGATGAATAGATGATTGGTTAGCTGTTTGGTTGGGTATTTGGTCAGTTGAATAGATGGATATTTGGTTAATTTATTCGCTGAATGGATGGCTGCTTGGTTGGATAAATATTGGCTTGGTTGAAGGGACGTTTGGTTCAATAGAAAACTGCTTGTTTGAATGGATACACTGATGAATGGAAAAAATAACCAGCAGATGCAYAGATGGAAGAATGATGTTTGGTTATTTGGGTMGTTGGTTGGTTGGACRAATGGCTTGTT